GGAGCAGATATCAAGATCTTTTTCTTCTTCTGCTGCCTTTCATTTTATTTTATTTGTATTGTTTTGTTGTGTGTAATGTTTTGTTTTTTAAAATGAAATGAATAAATACTATAAACTAAAAAATGATCTGTGACAGGGTCACAGATCGTTTTCTTGAAAAGGAATGGAGGGTAGAATTTATAACCCACACATTTTATAATGTAGGCCGACACTGAGCTTCCTCTTGTTGAAAGACCAGCATCCGCCACTGACACACACACGCCAAGAACCTCCCACTTAGTGACTACAGAGACCCGCTTTTTCTTTTATGTGGAGTTTGCATCTTCTCCCTGTGTGTATGTGGGGTTTTCTCCAGGCACTCAGGTTTTGCCTTGTAGACCAAAACGTATGTTATGTTTTTCGATAACTCTAAATCGTCCTTCATTTGTCTTTATGTATGTCTGTGATGGACCTGTGCAGCTCTCTGAAACCCACAAAGAAAAAGCGATACAGATCGATAGATGGTTTTCCTGTTTTTATTTTGTTCGGTACATCTTATAGACTCAAACTACTTTTACACACTTTCAACATTTTCAGCCATTTGGGTGTCAAAACATTAACAATGTTCAAGATATTATGACTACAACGTTTGGTATTTCTACCTTTTTATAATTTTTTATTAATTTTTTCAGGAGGAGACAGAGACTACAGCTGTCCTCCTCCCCACCAGAGTGTTATTCTCAGTTATAAGGTGGAAAACAGGTTTAATCAGAAATACAAAAGAAAGAAAAGTTTAAAAAATAAATAAATAAAATAAAAGAATGCATAATGCGCATAATGTTGGACTAAAAGGCGAATATTTGTGTGTGGTTTGTGTGGGGCTGTTAATGACGGAGCAGGGTTGTGTGGTTGGTTGTGAAGCGGGTGTTGTTTGCAGACAGTGGAGAGGAGCAGGAGGAGGGTGCAAGCTCAAGATCACCTCAGGCTCTGAGACAAAAAGAATCTGTGACATTTTCGTCTGTATTCATGTTGCAAATTCAAGATTCAAGATTCAAGATACTTTATTGTCATTCACATCACATGTTACATGAGATGGAACGAAATTAAGAGTCACAGCCCCAGTTACATCCAAATAAAAAAATATAAAAAATATATAAAATGTTAAAGTATAAAATATAAAATATAAAGTCGCTACAAGAGCACAATATTACAGGTAGGAAAAGTGTATAGCTAAGAGCAGTGCAATAAGGGAGAGTGATGGGAGTTTAAGAGTCGCACAGCTTCTGGAATGAAGTTGTTTCTCAGTCTGGTTGTCCTGCATTTGATGCTCCGCAACCTCCTACCTGAGGGGAGCGGGACAAAAAGTGAGTGTGCTGGGTGAGTAGGGTCCTTCATGATGCAGGAGGCCCTTTTTCTGCATCTGGAGGTGTATATGTCTGTGGCAGTGGGGAGGTTGGCTCCAACAGTCCTTTGTGCCGCCTTCACCACTCTTTGCAGAGCTCTCCTGTCTGCAACAGAGCAATGAGGACATTTTACTTATTATTATTACTTATTTGACTTACAGACAATCAGTACAAGGTGACAACATTAGTGTGTTGAACGTGAACTTATCTTCATGAACCATGAAATCCATGGCAGTAATTGGTCCATGCCAGGGTTTTTTCTATTGACGTCATACAGGGTCAGCTTTGCGGCACAGCCAGGTGTCACAAATCAGCTCCAAGACTGACACTGAAAGGGGCAATATTATGTTAAATCAACTTTTTTGAGTTTTATGTCATGTTATAATGTTATCCTCTCATCAAAAAACATCCCCAGAGTCTTACTTTGACTCATTCATGCATGTTTGACAAATCCTGTAGTGTCCTGAGGCAGCCAGGCAGGGGAGCAAAAACCACGGTTTGGGCCTAGAACCACCTTTTGGGACCAACTCCACCTCTGGGCTGTGTCTCCAAGCTGAGCTTCCTCATCACAGAGCACACACACACCCACATCTCCCCCCACGCACTCCTCCCATGACTCTTGCAGTCTATCCACAGTAACTAAGTAAACAAACACTGTTGCCATCTGCAGATAAGCTGAAAAGCAACTCACGTTGTTTTGTTCACATCCTTGTTTGAGCTATGTTATGATTTGTAATTTATACTACAATCAGCAGTGTGTGTCTGTGAGAATGGATGAAATAATCTTACCAGCTGGAACGTCATCTCTGTAATCACTCCGGTTCTTTAGAAAACACACTTTCCGGTCCGACAGGTTCATATCCTGAGAAGCAATTTTCCAAAAGAGATATTGTATAATGTTGCTGCTTTTTTAAATTATCATTACAACAAAGTCTGCTACGATGCTCCAGGTAATAAACAGTAGAGCCCTGTAGAGAGAAGCGGCTGTGATGACATGCAGAAATGGATGTGACAGAAGTGGAAGGTTGTTCTTAAAGAGACAGAGGCCAATTTCAAGGTGTTTTGAAACGGAAATTATGAGAAGACAAGTTTATTTTCTATTTTATCATAAAAAACAACATTTAAACACTTAAAGTAAGAGTGAGATGCTTGATAACTGACTTTTACTCTCAGCTTTTATCTAAATTTTTTTTACTCTTAAGTCCACTCCTAGCAGCATTCTTACAAGTAATTCTAAGAAGTTTGATAAATACGGGCCCTGAACTGACTGATCAGATAAAAAGCATGGGGAGGCTGGAAAAAACGCAAACCTTTAAATACCAAATAAAGTGAAATCAGTAAAAAAAAAATCATGTGGGGTTTTTTGTTTGTTTGTTTGTTTTTCTGCTTGGCCTTCAGAGGAGTCGGACGCTTTTTGCTCTCTCTCTCCCGAACCTCCCTGTGTTCCCTGCTTTGCTGCTGGATCAAACCTTTCCTCTATCATTCGACAAAAAAATATGGATCTGGTCAACTTGTCTCTGAATGCAATTGACACCATTTTTTCCACCTTGTGATTGGAGCGAGGGGAGCACAGCTGTCCCAGTGGAACCGTGGCGGCCGGGTGTGTGTCGGGGAGCTGGGGGGGGAACCTGATCTGCCTGGCTCCTCTTTCCGTTGAAGACGTCGAAGATGTATTTATATTCGGATATATGATAATCAGATTCCTGCTGATAGGCTGTGGAGGAGTTCTGGTTTATCGGAAAATGAAAACAATCCTGACAACAGTCCGGGCCTGTGAGAAGCTGTCAGTGGCCCTGGATGGGATTTCCCGTGCTGCGAACGCACAGACTCAAATGATGGGGGATTTAAGTCGCAGACTGGACGTGGTGCTGGCTAGGATCACAGCCCAGCACCGTGCCTGTTAGGAGTAAGGCAACATCTGGGTGAAGTTCATACGGGAGAGGCAAGATTGTAAATGAATCTGGAATACTGGCATTTTTTGCAAGACAGAGGCGCAGTTAAGGGCTTAAAGCAGTGGAAGAAAAGCTGCTTGCCCCAAAGAATCATGTTCTGTCATTGGACTCTCACAGCGGTGACCTTGGTCGCAGGCTGATGAAACCTCCCTGGAATGACACGTGAGAAGAAGCCTTGATCCCCCCCTCCCACCCCAACCCCCATCTGTGTCTGGACCGGTCTGAAGGCCACGTTGGGTGGAGACAGAGAACTGAACTCTGGTGACCTGCGCTTGACTGTTAGCAACTGGTTGGACTCTGTAGGTCTTCTGATTGGTCCCGGCATGCTGCCTTGGATGTCACTGGCTCCTCTGCACCCCTCCCCTTACCACCGGGGTTCCCTGCCATTGCAGGTGGGGCGCGGCTCGACTGAATGGATGGGAGGTGGAGGGGGAATGATCAGCTGTTGTTAGCATAATGGTCTGGACAGGTTTTTGATGGAGATTTGCTCTTAAGCAACAAAACTTTATGTTTTTCCTCTCAGGGTGCTGTTCACATTTAAAAACCCACTTTGCACAGAAATACTTTTTTTAAGTTTTATTGTTAAGTTTCAATGTTGAATATTTTCACAAAGTTAAAAAACATTAAAATAATTACTGTTAAGATGTTTTTAAGAGGTTGTAATTTCTTACAATCTATTTTTTTCCAGTTTTCTTTCATAAGTTCTAATATTAAAGAACATTTTGTGGTGAGAAATAAACTGAAATGAGTTTAAAAACAAAATATCTGTGTATGTGGTTGGAAAGTGTGTGTGTGTGTGTGTGTGTGTGTGTGTGTGTGTGTGTGTGTGTGTGTGTGCGTGCGTGCGTGCGTGCGTGCGTGTGTGTGTGCACGTGTGTGTGTGTGTGTGCACGTGTGTGTGTGTGTGTGC